CCCCACATCTTCTCCACTGATTTAGCAGCAGAAACCTTCAAACGATATTGTCCAGAGTTGGCCATGTGGGCCTGGCTTGAACTGAAGAAAACTATTGGTTATAGATTCCATTCTGGGGGCTGTGTCTTTAAGATACGGCAGAAAACAGCGGGGTGGGAGTACGTGTTGCGAGGCCACTGATATTCTTTTTATTTTCCTGATAGAAACTACAGCAAACAGCGATACGGAAGGTGTGTTTAGACACACCGGCTATAAGTACGTGGGTACAGATCTCTCCTCCGAATCTCCGTTCAATCTTGGATGCACCCCACTGGTTGAGAGCATTGTTTCTTGCGTGTAGAAAACCTTTTCATTCTTATCGTGTAGGAATTCTTACTGTGTAATCCTTTTCAAAGGTTATTTCTATCATGCTGAAAGCAACACACACGTAACCGCATGAATCTCAACTCAAAATACATTTCGTAATATTAATTATATAAGGAAATTAAATAAGAATTTGTGTACACAGCTATTTTGAGATTTTTAAAACCATTGTTTAAACGGTCCTACCTTTAAGAATCCAAACGTTGTAACCGCATTTGTTATTTTCCAAACGTGGATAAAGTTCATCGAGCTGGCACGAAAGAAAACGAAACTATTTAAATAACAAAGAAAGAGATTAATTATAAATTCAAATACTGTAGTCAGCACTGTTTATTAGTACCTTTCAGAAATTAGATTGCATTGCAAATTGTCTGTGCAATATCTTGTTAGCAATATCTGATCCCTCACACATGGTGTGTAAATGTATTACTTATCGATGTACATAAGTAGCATAAGAACAGTTAACCTTTGAGAAAATGTAAACAAGAAAACATTTACCACTTCTTTAAATTTAAGTACTCCCCATGTGCAGACATGGAAACCCTCTCTTGGTCAAACGAATTCAGATATGCACAAGCAGCACACAAGTAACGCTTATCCTTTATAGGCGGCACTCCCCTTACACTTATTACATGTAATCGGCCATAAAAAATTACAACTGTGCATTAACCTCTGCGCTTTGGTCAGCAAGGGGGAAATCGAATCGAATGGCAATGGCAAAGGCAACGACATCGTCACAGTTATCGTCGTCCTCGTCGAACGCTTATCACTACATACCATCAAATTTTAATGTCAAACCCTTTGCCAGAACATCAAGCAGGACACAGTAGCAATATCTAATAAGTGTTGTAAACGATGCAAACATAATAATTTGTAAGACTTTTGAAAGCAGAAACTTGTATTTTTACAAACAGCGACTGGTAAGGATACGAACACACACACACATATATATCTACTTATTCTACTACTTATTCTTATTTCTATAAAATGAGTATGTGTGAACGTTTGTGCTTAGATGCAGGCCAGCCATGATGTCCAGAGTTCCCGAATACCCTTGCTCCATTCCCAACCCCTCCCAAACAATACGATTTCGACGAGGACTACGAGTATGTCGTCAGCCTATCACACATGAAAGTGCTTGCCAAAAAATGCTAGTTGCATAAAATGAGGGAGCAAGTAAGGGACAAGGACAGAGAAGGGGAAGGACTAACCAAGAAAATGCACAAGAAACCAAGCAAAATGGGCACTGGATAAATAACTACTGAGTTATGTGCGTTGGCTGACTATTTGGGCACTTTGGAACGCCAAGAGATTTCAAATATCTTCATGTAGCAATGGCAGCAACTACTACAACAACAACATACAAGTGAATCAAATTTGAAAATCCTTGACGACAAAGTCAGGCTGTGGAATAGTCATGCGGTTGGTTGGTTGGCCTGTCCAAGAGTCAAATGTTATGCGGCGAGTGGTTTAGATTTTTGCTCGTATTCAATTTCTTTAGCTTTGCTCTACTCACCAGGAGAGCGATGGACTGTTACCGAAAAGGTGTTCAGGTTAAACCATACATTCAAGGGTTTATAAAGTTTTAGAGAAAATATTTCCAAGTTGAACTGAATAAATGAACTGTACAGAAATGTATATTACAAGTAGAGACCTGTAGTTTAAAATATAAAGCACCAAAAAGCCCAACTTCAATTTGAAGCAGTTCCAGAATATTTCTACATTGTTATTATATTTAGTATAAATTATTGAAAACTTTGCTTCATAATAATAAATTCGTAATTATTTAACAACCTAACATTTCTATATTCTAAAGAATTTGAACATGAATAATCGTCTCTTATTAATGTTGGTTTTGTATAGGGTCCATTTCATTAGAGAGTTTGAAGGCCAGTACTAGTACTTGCAATGCTGATAATGGAATCCAATCCAAAATCCAGTCACTCGGTTTATCAGGTTTCACAATTAGCTCAACACTCAAAGGTATCTTTGGTTTTAAAAATCCCAACAAGCACTAAACACTGCAAACCTCCCTCTTTATTTTTGCATGAGAGACCATGAGAAATTTTGTGACAATATTAAATAGTTTTCTGTATGACACATCTTGGGTATTCCTCCAATAATCATAATCAAATATCATTTGCCCATTTGAATTTTTTACTGAGTCAGCCTAAGAAGATTTTTTTTGTGACTAGTATTTTTCCAATATTTCTAAAATTGTGTGAAATGAGAGTATTTTAACTTCGTTTGGCTGCAATTGGGTTTCCGTTGTCTCCTCCTTTGACGGCCACCAAAGCTTTTAGTTAGTCTTTTGTGTGACTCGCACGCGGCTGTCGGTATTACAAAATAGCTTCAAGACTATTTGTAATTTGCATTCATTGACGCCGTTTTTATATCGCCCCGAGTTTCTTGTTTCTATGTATAAGTGAGCTGTGAGGGTTTGGGATGTGACTTTCGGTGGAGTGTTGAGGCAGAAAGTGTGAAATCTACGTATATACTATACGTATGTACATACATATATGTGTCAACAGGCTACAATGCTGCTTTTCAGCTACATACTCTTATAGTATGTATGTACGGATATGTATGTATGTGTATAGACTTCCATACTACACATGACTCACGACGCCAGTGTCGGAGCCATGCATAGAAATGTGTGTACGTGTGTGAGTGTGTGTGTGTGTCTGTGTGTTTGTATTACCGTGCTATTTCCGACTTTTCTCGTACCTTCATCAAGTTGTCATTCAATTTTTAAATCCATAGCATGTTTTGTACTTAACATAGTTGTGACAAGATGACAAAAAGTAAGGATGCGCTTGCTAGTTCCATTGAAACTTACTTGCCGCAACTTTGTCGTGGACTTTAAATAGCATTGCGTAAAGTTAGTTATGTCAAGAATAAAGTTGATATATAGTATGTATGTATATACTTGTATAAGTATATGTTTTTTTCATTTAGAAATCGTTTACACATTACACACACACACTCAAATAAAAAGGGAACATGAATGAAAATCTGATACCAATTCACTAATAGAAAATGCTCGAACATTTATCTGGCCGCCCAGTCAAATGTAATTTGCGCTACCCTTCAATCATCCATTCAATCAGTGCTGCCTCAGTCTGGATCTGGTCGGCTTTTCGAAAGCATCTAAAGCCGCACGTACTTGCTTTCACTTAGATGGGCCATTTACTTTCATTCATCGGTAACATTAACAGTTACTTGTTGCCCCACGGCCGTTCGCGGCAGCTCAGAGTCATCATCGTAATGTTTCTCGCACACATTTTTCCTCCTTCTTATTCTTCTTCTTCTTATTCTGCTCCTTCATTCTGTTGCATTAATCCCACGTAATGAGTTGTACGCCATTTTGTGCTAAATTGTTTGGTGAGTGCCTGATAACAATATTTGCACTAATTTGGCATTTTTAAGTGTGCTCCACCGACACTTGATGCGCTTTTAATTGCGCCAAACGCTCGAGTGTACTTTTGTCGAGGCATGTCTGCCTGCTTGCCTGCCCGCCCGCCCACATGCCCTCCTCCTTGCCATCTGGGCGAACTGTGGGTGACGGAGCGTGTATATGTATATACATAGTTTATGTGTGTGGGTATGTGTACGTTGACTTGTGGCTCTTAGACAGCCTCGTGCGGTTTCCAGCTTGCAACGTTGTTGCCTTGTTGCATTGCACTTGCTCCTGCTCCTGCTTCTGCATCGTCCTTGTCGGTATGTGGCAAGAAAACGTAAAAGATAAACGATTCATTAGTTCCTGCAATCATTTTGGTGTGCCTTTAATGGGTGTCGCTGCAATGAAAGACAATAAAAGTTTCGCCCCACCAAACCAATACCTCCATCTCCCTCACAGTGGTCTGGCTCGCCATTCTAACCACAAAAAAATGTATTTTTTGTGGGCTAATACATCAATAAATAATTCGTTGTAAGCTGATCTTAGACTATAATTGCAACGACTGCGTTGTATTTTATATTTAACTTAATGGGAGTTTTTATTGATATCGAATAGTTAAAACATTTTCGAAAGATTATCAATTAATGCTAATAATTACATACTTTTAGAATTTAAAATACTTTAGGTAAATTGTTTCTGCATATTTTCGAAGCTATTTATAAAGAATTTTTTCTATTGATGAAACAATTGTGGAACATTTTGCTAGCTTTTCGATAAATTTGAAACAGCCCTCTATTGGAGCTCACTAAAATGTCTCGTTTCGCATACTCAACTTTGAAGACTTTATAAATGAATTAACCCCAGATTTGTAATCTTCGAAAGGTAAAAGTGTACATTACAAATTCGAAGAAAGTAGGACTTCTTGACCGTCAACCCAACTTTTCTCTACTTTTGTGAAAAATTTCATCCAAATCGGCCCGATACTAAGAAAAGTTATTAGCTAAACAATTTTACTCCAATACTACGCCCACAAATTGCAGAAAGCGGTTTGTGTAGGTACAGGGTACAGTATTTCAGTATTTTTTTTTAAATCTGGACCACAGTAATGCGTAGGCGCCGACAGGAGCAAATAGAAGCGTGCGTGCGTGGGCCAAGTTTGATTTTAACGTCTGGCACTTGTAATATAAGTTACGCCCTCTTTTATTACCATTCAAATTTTTTAACGCCTTTCTTGCAGTACGACACTCCAGATTGCGGATCCGCAGTCAGCAGCCTGTGTGCCTTGAGCGGCGCCAACAATGATTTGTTGCAGAAGCACTCGATTAATTCACTGCTGGAACAACATCAACACGATATGCTGGGACGTCGCAATGATGGCAATGATGGACTGATATCATACATAAATGGTGGGTGCAAATAATGATTTCTTTCTACCTATTCTACCTATTCTATGTACCTACAAATAAATAAATTGATATGGTTTTAGCTACCGATTGTTCTATTTGCGTTACACTGCTACGCTTTTTATATATATTCTTGATAAGTATGACAAGAGGAGTTGTTATAAAAACGTCAGTCCGTCCGTCTGTTTATATGAACGCAAAGATCCCAGAAAGTAAAATAACTACAATAACCAAAATTGGCATCCAGATTCTTCTAAGTTCGACAACTTCCCCGCTATTTGTGAATTTGCAAAGCTTCCGTAATTCTTGAAATTTTTTACTCAAATTGAATAATTGCATCTAATTATGTAATGCTTGTCTGCCTTATTTCATCATGATAGGCCAATTTTTAAGAAAGGTATATCCCCAAATTTAATCTCAACTCGATCTCTGTACTGAACAACCAAAATAATGTGTCTCAAGCTTTTATAGTCTCCGAGATCTAGGTGATTATACGAACGTCGCGACGTTACTGAAAATCCCTAATAGCAGCGAAATCTGTGTACAAAATTTGGTGGCTCTAGGTCTTATAGGTTTTGAGATCGAGGTATTTATACAAACAGACAGATAGGGATGGATCATATGCATTTTGTGGATACAATTACCCCGAACAGCTACTACTAATTACTAACAGTAAACTAATGACGAAATCACTTCTTTAGCGCTTCCTTGTGCCTTCAAAACCTCTTTACAAAATGCACTTTGTTAACGAGTTCATAATACGAATAGTAAGTAGATAGATGTGTAAAGCATACCTCATGACTTTTCAGTTGAATTTAGTTTTGGTCAAGTAGTCAGTCTTATAACAATCAGACATTTTAACATTTTGAAATCGGCAACAACATTATTATTTGTATATGTATTAATTTTCAATTTGCTTAAACTAGGACTTTTCCTTGCATAAAATTCCAAAATAGTGTAAATTTAAATTTGCGAACTTGGTATTTGCGCGTGTTAGTCGACCAGTTAGCAGGAAAGACTATAAAGCGCAATAAATTTTCAAGTATTTGTAAAATTTTAAATAAAAAATTTAAAACAATTAATTAAAACGAAAAAACAAAATTTGATTGTGTGTGCAAATAAGAATACACACGCTGGAGGACACTTGGACAAGAGTAGAAACAGATAGCAAGTCATCTTCATCAGAAGCACGTTTTCAAATAGCTGACCGTTGAGCGCTGAGCATAAACATGTTGAGCATCGAGGAGCTGTTTTTGAGGAGCAAGAGTTCGCTGCCAACAGTGGCGCCCACGCACTTCGATAAGGACATGCAGGAGCATTACGAATTTGGCATAAATGAGAGTGGCTGTGGCAGTAGCTGTGGCAGCGGCAGCGGCAGTAACGAGGGCTTTGGCAACGCTGTCGATGAGGGCGATGGTGATGGCGATGGCCGTGGCAGTGCAGGCAACTTGGCCTACGACAATAATAACAGCAACATCAACATCAATAATGACGACGACGACGACGATGACAACAACACAAACAACAACTGCAGTAAGTTGGCATATATGCCAAAAAGTGTGGACTGTGTGGACAGAACGATGGACGAACGACGAACGACGAACTGAGAGCGACCAACATATTTTCGCTTAATTTATTAGTTGATTTTGTGCAGCAGTAGTTTTGAATATTTGCAAAATACTTGAGAGCAGGCAGAGAATAGCAATCGTTTTGCCCTTTTGGGCAATAGTTTTGATTTATTGACCCACAGGCTGGTAGCTGCAGGCTCAAAGACGATGGCAGCGGAGAGCATGCAAAAAAACAAACAAAAATAATAATAACAACAAAACTATACGATTCACATTATTTATCGAACGAACAACGCTTTCCCCCTCATTGCAGATCCAATCACACTGAACGATCTACTTGGCCTGTGCGGCGAGACAGCAGCAGCAGGAGCAACAACAACAACAGGAGCATCAACAACAGGAGTGTCTACAGCCGGAGGAGTAACAGCAATAACCATGGGCGGCATTGGCATGTTGAACACTGGTAACGGCAGCGGTGGTGTCGGCGGCGGGGCTGGCGCCGGCAACGGTGTTGTTAACCATAATTTGCTGCTGGGCGGCAATTCGATGGGCAACGCTGCCGCGGTCACCGCTGGCGCTGCCAGTGGTATGCCAGTGGGCACCGATGGCTCTATAAACGGTTCACCGGCAGTACTCTATGCGCCCCTAACGCCTAGCTCGACGCAGTCCTCTGCCTCGCCCGGCACACTATCGAGCAAATCGAACTTTGATTTCTTTCAGGTGAGTTCATTTTGTGTCGGCCATTGTCGTTGTGCCGCGTTTGCATTCTGGTCTTTTCTATTATCCTTCTAATTGCACCGAACTTGCACCGATTTCTTCTAACTTTTGGCTTGTGTCTCTGTGACCTTCTCTTTCTTTCTTTCTGTCTTTCTTACTTTTTTTCCTCGCTCGTGGACTGTTCCCGTAAAACTGTTTGCTCGTACTTTATACCAAATACTATATGTACTCGTTAAACAACAAACCTCTTATATGATTTACTCTCCATATCTGTATGTGTGTGTGTGTGTGTGTGTGTGGGTGTGTGTTTTTGTGTGCGTGTATCTGTGTATATTTATTTTAATTTATTTCTTAATTTCTTTTCTTTCTTGGTCTTTCTTTTTTGGTCGAAAACAAAAACAAAATAAAAATTGGTACATTTAGTTTGAAAATAATGCACAAAGTACACCACTTAAGGCTTTCCAAAGAACAAACATCAGCTTCGATTGCTCTGCACCTTTATCGCCAAGTACGCCTACATCTATTTACAATCGCTCCTTTCACAGCTCACCTTTAGTCAGGTAAAATAAACGAAAAATGAAAATGCAGCCCAACAGCTAAACGAATCTGATTCCTCTTACAACCTTCCCGCATGCCCTCACATTACAGTGACAGCAGCAACTCCTCGAGCGGCACTGGAGGCACTGGACCCTCCATGGACTCCATCAATATGCTATATCAGCAAAATTGCTACAACACCCTAAACAATGCAAACAGCAGCAATTTAGGTGTGAATCTACAGAACGCATCGACGCGCTCCAATTCACCGGAGAGCCAGAACAGCAATCAATCAGTTAATGAGCCCAATTTGCTGGATATGATTGTAAGTAATGTAACAAGTAACAAGCTGTTTACTGACAATTTATATCAATGTTGTTTGTTGTGCTTTCAATTCAAAAATTCCTAAACCTTTACAGAATCTGCTGTCTGTGAGCAGTAATAAGTTAGCTTGTGTGCAGCAGCAACAACAGCAGCAGCAGCAACAGCAACACTTACAACAACAACTTCAACAACAGCAGCAACAACAGCATTATCAACAGCAGCAGCAGCAGCAACAACAGCAACAGCAACAGCAAAATGTGTTCGCTGGCTTCAATCTGAACTTTGATCCGCATATGAGCGGACAAACGCCTTCGATTCAGCCGCAGCAACAACAACAACATAGTCAACAACAACAACAACAACAGCAGCAGCAGCAATTCAATAACTTTGATCTATCAAGCAAAGATTGTCTAAACAAATGCTTTAACACGAACGGCCTGGAGAATTTTGCGAGCGTTGACATGGAGCTGGCCAAGTTGCAGAACTTGCAGCGCATCAATACCTTGAAGCTGTTGCAGGCCCAATCGCAGCAAATGCCGCTGCTCAATCAGTTGTTGCAGAGCTATGCTGGCAATAGTAACAATGGCATGAACTTAAACGCATCAGCAGCTGGCTTGGGAACTGGCCTGAATATTGTCAACAATACAGGTGGCGTCGCTACCGGCTTGACCGGCATTGGCCCCGACGGGCATCTAGATCGCGTGGCCAAATATCATCGCACATCGGCTGCTTTGTGCGATCCCACCTGCACCTGGAGCGGACAATTGCCTGCACGCACTCATCGCATGCTCAACTATTCGCCAAAAGTGTTCTTAGGTGGCATACCCTGGGACATAAGCGAACAATCGCTGATACAAATCTTTAAGCCTTTTGGATCGATAAAGTAAGTGCAATAGTTTGTCCTGAAATACAGATACTTGTAGAGAGACAGGGACGAGTTCATCTAATTTTTCACATTTTCATCGTACACAGGGTGGAATGGCCCGGTAAGGAACAGCAGGCTGCACAGCCCAAAGGCTATGCCTACATCATTTTTGAATCGGACAAGCAGGTCAAGGCTCTGCTATCGGCATGTGTTGTGCAAACTGATGATTCAGTTAGTGGCAGCAATTATTTCTTCAAAATTTCTTCGCGTCGCATTAAATCGAAAGATGTATGTCGAATTGTTGTTAATAATCTAAATATTTGCAGCGTATAATTTGAACCCCTCACCATTTCATAGGTTGAAGTAATACCCTGGATTATAGCCGATTCGAATTTTGTGCGCTCAAGCTCGCAGAAATTGGATCCCACAAAAACAGTATTCGTAGGCGCTTTGCATGGCAAGCTAACAGCCGAGGGCTTGGCCAGGATCATGGACGATCTATTTGATGGTGTGCTCTATGCAGGCATCGATACGGACAAGTATAAGTACCCGATTGGATCTGGACGTGTGACCTTTAGCAATTTTCGCTCGTACATGAAGGCAGTATCGGCTGCATTCATTGAAATACGCACCAGTAAGTTCACAAAGAAGGTGCAGGTTGATCCCTACTTGGAAGATGCTTTGTGCTCCATCTGTGGCGTACAACATGGTCCGTACTATTGTCGTGAATTGTCGTGCTTTCGGTAGGTGTTGCCGTCGATTAGTTACGACGCTTGCAGCCTAATTTATTGTACATTTCCTGTTCTTAGCTACTTCTGTCGCAGTTGCTGGCAGTGGCAGCATAGCTGTGACATTGTCAAAAACCACAAGCCTTTGACGCGCAACTCGAAGTCGCAGACTTTAGTGGGTATTGGCCCATCCCCGTCGTCGGTGTCATTGGCTCCATCGACAAACAGTATGCATTCGAATCAGCAACAGCAACAATCAAACATCTATAGTTTGCTGTCCAATACGCCGGGGACCAATTCTTCAGCTACATCGTTCTATAACTACCAACAGCAACAGCACCAACAACAACAGCAGCATCAGCTTCAGCAGCAACAATCGATTTAAGTCTATCGAGATCTGATGCCCAACTACTTTTACTTGTAACCGTTTTACTTCAAATCCAGCGTGAACGAATTTTTTGAATTTTAAGAATTCGCATATGGCTGATTGGAAAGCCAGAGATGCCAACGTTTTTCACATTCCCCCGCTTATAAGTACTTTTAGGCACACTGAAGGCCAAGTTAATTGATTTGCTTTTCAAGAAACAACAACAAGTATAAGTATGCAAACTATTGAATGCAGCTGTCCTCTATTCGATCGATACCCCAGATCTTATTATCATTAACTAACTGTGTAAATTTTATTGTAATCGCCTATGTAAATATGGTAAATATTATTAAGTATAAAACCTTTCTTTTAGGCTAAACATATTTGAGGTTTTTATGCGAACTCGCATACCGCTCAATCGATAGATATATGTGGGCCGATGTACGGGTTTGCAAAGATTAATCCAACTGTATACATTTGTCATACTACCTTTCGATAATCATGCTTACATATCAGCATTGGAAGCTGGCATTCAAATGCTAAACGAAGAGCGAAACGAAAGCAACAAATAATTGTTAACCATAATGATGAAATTAAGCATTTATGTAGTTTAATTTCTTTTTTGGCTAGGAAAGCTGTTAGGTTATTCCTGTTAATTTTGGATTAAGTTTATGTTTAGATTTTAAGCACAACATTTTGAACAAGCTCCCACCTTTATTTTTGTTTTGTTAAGTTTTTTGTAATGCGCTATTATTGAGAAATTTTATAGTTTCTTTTTAATTAGCGAAAAGGCCAAGCATTTGAAATGTCCTTGGAAGCGTAACGAGAAAATTGCAATTTTTAAGTTAAACTTTTAAAAATTGTAAGATTTTTTCCCGAGTTTTTTCTTTTTTGTTTATTTTGAATTGTTGCCACGCATATATATGAGTTGATTTTTTTGTTATACTTATTGTAGTTTTTTCGGTTTATAGATTTAATTGTGAAACAATATTGCACATAGCTTGAATGTTGGAATACATTTTAAGGTATTTTTTGCTTTTTTGCTTGTTAAAGTTTTATTTAAAAACTTCATCAATATTATTTATGTCTTACATTCTCTTTATGTATTAGCTACTATGATTTATATACACAAAATGTATGTATGTAATATCAAAATGTTACATATTTGAAACGCTTTCATTTAGAACTCATTATTTTTTGTATACAAAACACAAAGAAGGAATACTTGCTTATTTTCATTCAAATATACACAATGTATTACTTACGCGTTTACTCAAGCAAAAATTTGTTTAATTACCCTATACATATGATGATTGTACATGTACTTATGTGTTCACAAGTCGCACTAACTCATTCTCACATCCTCGCATCCTCGTGCTTTCATTAACCCTTCCATCATCATCATCTAGATAATGGTGTAGGTATGCAAAAAAAAAAAAAAACTAAAAATCAAAAAACAAGATCATTTAGTCTAATATCAATTTTAAATTTAATCGAATTTAAGCATAAATACAATCAAATTACTTTACCATGCAACTGAAATACTCCACACAGAACAACTGTGCAGAATTCAGATGACGAACAAATGAAAATGATTCGCACGTACATATGAATGCATATATAATATGGATACAACAGTCCAGTTATCATCGGGTGTTCTATGTAATTTTAAAATGCGCATACGAACGCCAATAGGCGTTAATTGTTTTAGGCATATTTTTGTGGGCAAAGAATATGTTATGTTTTTAAAAATGAGATAACGTTTAAGCACTTACACTTACACACATAGAGAACCTACAGGGATTTTATGGTAGTAATCGAAACCCCAAAAAAACCAAAATGTTAATGCATGCTCAATTGTATGCCTTGTGTACATAATTTGCAAAGATGATGAAAGGAATGCAAGGAGAGCACGAAACTAGTTGAATTCGTTGAAGAAATTTTTAATTGAGATAAAAGCTGGTTTTGGCCAAAGAACAAGCCTCTTAGTGTAACGGTTTCTGTTGTAGTGCATTATATGGCTTAGTTACGTTGCCTAGAAACTCGATGAGTTTATTGTTTGTTTCCTTTTCTCCTACAGTTAATATGTAGGGGCTTTTTAATAAATTGTATTAAAGCAGCAATTTGTCGCTAGTAATGCGCATCAAAACTATAAATGCTAGACAATTATAAATGCTTAACTATAAGTATATAAGTAAATACATAATAAATACAATTTACCCGTTAGGATGAAATATTATTGTATATCTGAGGTCTGGAATATATCTACGTATAAAAATTAACACCCCCCTTTCAAAACAAGTACTCGCTTTATCAAAATCACAAAATCAAAATGCTTATTATTACCTACTTTTACGTAATAGAAATCGTATATACAAGCATATAACTACAAATATAAAATAACTAAATACAAATATTCATAGAAATATATATATATACATATATATATATAAAATATATATATATAGTATAGTACGTGTTATATATATATATATATATATATATATATCTATATATATATATCTATATATATATATATATATATATATCTATATATCTATCTATATATATATATATATATATATATATATATATATATATATATATATATATATATATATATATATATATACATATATACATATATACATATATACATATATTTTAAAAAACAAAATAAGCATCTGCGACGAAAGGGAATTAAAACATATATAAATATATATATATATATATATTTAAACACACATACATACCTTTAAATATTAGACAAGAATTGTATATATTTACACATAAAATGGTGCTTTAGCTGAAATATAATAATTGTAAGACTTGAAAAAAAGGAATTATATTTAGACAAACAATAACTTATTTCAACCACCATTTTAAATTATTTTTACAAAGCCAGAGAAAACAAATTTTTAATTTACTATTACATTTTTTAGCGCAAAGCAACAACAACAATAACAACAATTGAGAGGCAGAGGCAGTGCCTTTTTTATTCAAAAATCAAGCGTTTAAATTTTAAACTATTGGATGGAAAAAGTGATTTTACCAAAAACAAACCAATCTAAACATTTTCGATTATGCAAAAACTCACAACGTACACACATTCACAAGTATTCTAAACATTAAAACACAAATATACTAAAAAGAATTGTGCAAATTTTAAATATATATACAAATTGAGGAGTATCTACTTTTACTACAAAACTTAAATTAAACAAATTGACAATTTTTAAATCAACAACATTTTATGGTCATTCTGAAAACTCTTAACGAATGGCGAAATTGGCGCTCAGTCTATTGCGTATTTACTTTTTATTTTTTTAACATTTTAACGCTTTTAGAGATTAAACAAAATGAAGTTTTTTAATTAAATACGAGCTACAACATTTGAAAGCAGCGACACTTTTAAACTTTTCTATACAAAATTAAAGGCGCTCATGCAACGCCACAACATCCACAAAGCTTTTCGTATGCATGAAAAAAAACAGCAACAACAACAACAACAATTTTTTAATGAAGAAAAATCTCAAGCAAGCAACTATAAATTACATATGTAAATGAATAATTAAGACATTTAATGTATCAATGAAATAAAAACGAAATGTAAAGGAACCAAAATCGAACGCTTCCCACGCAAAAACGATAATATTACAATTTTAGCAAAGTAAACGAAAACATAAAGAAATTTTACACAATCCCATATATACATAATTACATTTAAACGTAAATATATTCAACACTATTTTCCAAAACAACAGCCGTAACAGTTTAACGCTTTCCAAAACATATTTAAATCAAAATAAAAAAGGCACACAGCTATGGGTGAAAAACAAAAGATCTTGACCTAAAAAATTTCATAAGTACTAAAGGCTATTGAACTTATGCATTGCGCCGAAAATAATCTATACTAATTACTAACTACTCTATACGATGACTATTACTAACTCTACTAAACTAAAAACAAACTAATATTGAACGAGAATTATTTTTAATAACGAAGCATGGAGTCGACATCTAAAACACAAGCGACATGTGAGACACATTTGGGGGAACATTAGCAACATAAATTGCAAATTAAATTTTAAACTAACAACATTTGCACGGCAATATGTTGAAATAATGCAATAAGAACGGTTTTTAAAAAGACTATTATATATACAAATTATTATTATAAAAACCAAAAAAAAAAAAGGAAAATAAAATGAAAAACGTAATAAGCTTTTAATGCAATATTCAAATGTATGAACAAAATATGTATTCTATTTTAATACCATTCAAACAAAAACCTGGAATGATATATACAAGTATACCTATTATATAAGTATATCTATTACGCAGTTACACTACTCGGAAAAGCAATCAAATTTTTCTAAACTCCCAATTGGAATTACTAAAAATGAAAGTATACAACGTTATTTTTGCCTGACAACAAGCTACATTACCTGTACATATGTTTTGAAAAAGTTTCCGGCTTGCACCTTTTTTACTTACTGTGTGGAAGTATATAAAATCAAATTTCTAAATGAATGATTGAATTGAATACGAGATTAATCATTAATTTGTTTAAATTATTATCTTTATGAGCCTTGTTTGAAATTCATTTGTAAATGTTACCGCATTTTCATTTCAAATATAGACTATTTAAGTCCACAAGTTTTAAAAAATGAAAGCGTTTAGCATTCGAAGTCAAAACTGCTGTCGGAGGTCCTTCTACAGCTAATGATAAATACTTTTACAAACTTCATCTTATGTGGCGATAAAAACAAATTTGCGCATTCATTTGCTTCTAATCTTTATAGATTCATTTTAATTTTAGTGCAGGTTTCCTCTTTTATGAAATTCTTCAAAATCAAATCAATCTGATTATTATACATTATTTAAACAGCTTTGTGTACTTAGCTTAGCTTAAAGCTTCATAATTGTACCATTTTTAGGTTACAAAATGAATCAAAGTATTATTAATTCCCAATTGGAATAAACTACGTTTTAAACTACCTGTTTTGACTGCCAAAATAAGGACACGAGTTTGGTTCTCGTATATATGCCAGATTTAGGTGAAGCTGTTAAAATAGTTTGCTATAATGATATTTCAGAAAAAAGTTTTAAGGCGAACTTTACTAGCGGGACTTGAAATTAATGCATAATTAAATATCATTTTAAATTCAGACAAGTTGTCTGACTCTAAATTTAATGTAATTGCTACTATTTTTGTAAACTTTCAAAAAAAAAAATATAGATATATATAACTAATACCAACTAGAACTCCCAATATAATGCTAAAGTAATGTAGTTTATTATATTCAAATGAATTTGTTAATTTTAAACACAAAAGCTTTTATCGATTTTTGATTTGAGTTTTCTGAAAATTCCATGAACGCTTCATTTTTTTCTTGAGTGGTGTAAATGTTGAAACATATTAATATTGTTAAACTACTGAGGTATATTTAAGAGACAAAACAAAAGAATATTCTAATTGATTTTCCCACCTTATATAGGAATATAAACATGAATACTGCAGTGCCATTTTAAATAGCTTCCGATAAGTAAAAAAAAAAAACAAATATATATATATATACATACATAGATATTAAAGGTAAATGAGAGACAAATATGCATACATCATACGTACATACCTAGTATATACATACAAACCTTATTATATTGTATTGTTATGAGCAAAAGTTCAAATGCATTAACACGTTATTAAGCAAAGCAAATGGAACAAAGTTGAACTTGAACATATTTTGAATGCACACATTTTTGAAATTTTTGATGCTTTTTTTGTATAGCATTTTCGAAAAATACGGCACACATTTGCATGCGCAGTATACATACATACATACACGTATGTGTGTCATCAATAATGGTCTAATAAGCTTCCACTTCAGAGTCGAAGCGTGTAAATTGTAGCCTTCGGTTTGGCCGAAATTCGCGCGCGACCGTAACAACAACAACACATTCAAATACGAGTATATACCATATTATGTAATGCATACCCTATAATGCCAACAAAATACAAACCAAAAACAAAACAAAAATACAACCCAGTAGCTAGGTCTATTAATCAATTAATTAATAAACAAGTACATCCCGATATCTATTTATACTTATGAACTGACGAAAATTTTAACTAACAAATGTATGAAATACGCGCAACATTTTCATAACTACACGCTATACAAGAACCTATAGAACGTGCGACAATTTAAATCACACACTCATTTACTCATCAACTTCACACATGCGAATACATATAAAAGAGCTTACAATAAGGCAGTAAAGAACCCCTATATACATATACATACATATATATATATATATGATATTTGTTAAAATGTAGCCACATGCAAACCCAAACAACAAATTTACCTACCACGGAAAGTGTATTTACTATGAAATGTTGTTTTAAACTGCAGCTTAATCACAAGAAACTGATTAAAACCAAATTAATTGACACAGTGAAACGTGCAAGTCTCGAGAACTCTCAATTTTGGCAATTCCAAGGCTTGCACATTACAGTGGAAAGTCATAAAGGAAACTACAAGTAATAACCATATACGAGGCCTACGAATAATATATACATATAAGCATATATACAAAATATGATATCAAACAAGGCGTTTTAAATATGAATAAAACACAAAAAAACAAATGCAATGACAACATAAAACATTCTTGAAGATTTGACACAAGACAAAATGTTATAATAGACACCTTCGTATAATAAACAACCCTTTAAAGAGACGACAATATATGAGCCTATACATTAAGTTAAACATTATGCTGAATATGCCGGGTAATAGCCGATGAAAAGTATGTATTGTATATTAACAATAACAAAGAAATAATAAAGGAACACACAGACCAAAGTTTGAGTTTTGGACAGTTGGAAAACTCCATTAAATCCGTAGGTGAAAAACTTTATTCTTAAATTTATTGCATTTTTATACATACATATACGTAAATATGTGCTTATTTAACGCGATTTGTAATTACAGGGTATTCACATCAAGTTGTTTCCCTCATTGTTATCTTTATCGACCTTACCTAATGCGCTTCTCTTTTATATGGGCAGTCGGTTTTATAAACTTCATTCATCATTTCTTCTGTAAATATTTCTCCATCATCTAGCTATTACTTGTCACTTTTTATTCCTTATCTCATTGTGGCTTTAAAGCCGCAGTCTGTTATTAAGCTTTTCAGTGTTAACAATTTTTGAACGCGGCCCACCGTGCATTCGCCTCATTACTATTTACAACTGAAAATTTTTAATAACTACTTTTTCAGCCCACACTCTATAAAACTCTGTTTCGTCTATGTTTTTCTTAATAAGTTATTCAAAGTTTATGTATTCTTTATGATCTGCATGCATGGCTGCCAGGCATGTTTAAGTTGACATTTTGTTTTGGCTTGACAGTACTCTTAACAACTGAAGGACTTAACAGCTTTGATGTAGATACCCTTAATGTTTTTTGTTGTTTTCTTCGAAAACCAATTAAAACTAGTTTAAATAATTCAACGAATACTACCGTCTCGGCATACAAAAGGTACAATACTCGAAAACTACTTGTTCAGTCTTCTCTTGGCAAAAATTTGATAAATGCCCAAGCCAGCGGACATGGTGCCAATAGCACCCACCTGGAATGTAGAGAGTTTGCCACCCCAGAGATAGCCTTTTGGTAGCGTACTAACAGCATGGAGAAGATCCAAAGATAGTCGAACTATGGAAAGCATTTCCAGCCTATGCTTGCCCAACGCCTTAGAATCAATGCTGCTGGGGCTGTCAATAAATAAAGTTTTCTATTAGGTACCGTGAACGGCAAAAATATTTTCAATACTCACTCGCTTAGTTTGTGGCTGCGATTGAGCTTGTCCTGATTCAAAGAGAAGTTGCGCATCGTTCTAGAAATTGAATATTTTAAAGGAATTTGCAAATTATTTTGAAATTGTGCATACCGCATCAAATTTAAGTACACCGAAAGCACCCAAAATATAGAATTGACGTTATCCCAACTATCGGCATGCTTTACATTGACAATTTTGTGCTCGGAAAGCCAGCAGATTTTCTCGATGGGGTAATAAAGTAGATCCACAATATTCGCAGTAACGCCGAGTATGGCCATAATGCGATCGGGTTCATTCTCTCCCAGACCATATTCTAAAGCGTATTGTATCATCGGTATGTCATCTATAAGCCGCAGCGTGGCGCGTGCTCCTGATATTTTGGAACTGGCAATAGCATAGCGCTTAGCCAAGTCTGGATTTCGTTTTGCATGATATCCAGCCACGAGTTTGGCGCTATAGCACAACACCTTCATTACCTGCAATAAATTAGAGTTTCGTTATCAGTTCCAGTCCCAAGACGTCTTCTTTAGGTACGAGTATATATATTGTTTTACTTTTAGTGTAATTTTTGAAATTGCTTTGTCGTTACAAAAACAAAAAAAACTATCAGCGATAAAATGAAAACCACGACAGCTACAAACATCTTTCCGACCGTGCAATGCACTTGAAATTAGATCAAAATTGCCTTTTATATCCTCATTTTGTGACTCTTTTATTCTGTGTTTATATAGCAGCCAATGGTCGACTGCTTATTAATTAATTACGATATTTGTCTGTTTGTTTATTTGCGTTGTTGGGGTGGGCTTCGAAATCGATATTGGTTAAGTAAACAAAGCTACAACAGCAAATATTTAGAAATATTCCACTAGCCTTTCTTTCATAGCGTATTATCTTTTTAATCTCGCAGCGCGTTAACTTTTTACCGGCTATGATGTCTAGCATTATCTGAACTAAACGGTATGCTGGCGTCTATTGAACATGTTGCCTGATAAAGTCACCAGCTAATGGTAAAATTGTGTGTGGCTATTAAAATTCGGCGAGAAGTAAGACAAGGTTTAATTCGACCGCCTTCCGCAATGCTGACATACCGTCGTTGCTCTTGATTATCAATGTCAAAGTATTGGTGATGGTGGACCAACAACAATGTGCAGAAATGTACATAAAAACCTGTTGTTGCGGTTGGACAAGCCCACCGGAAAACAAGTAAACATGCCACGCTGCATGATCGAAGGGGCTTTAAAATTGCATAACACTGGGGGAACTGGGATCCAAGTCCACATAATCCAGAAATAATAATTTAAAATGTACTTTCTCTTTATAACTTCAGGTGTTACAGTTATAATATTTTAATATTTACCTTATCTCTGCCGCCATAGGAATCAATGATATCACAGAATTCTTTTGCAAACTTAGTTGTGCCGCACATTGTAATAATGGATGTCAAATAGCTACAGGTACACTACAGGTATAAACACAGGAGATAAAGATAAATAAGAGAAAAAACACACAATAAACCTTGATACGAGTGCACGGCACAACAATACGTTTGAACAGCTGCGCAAACAGCTGGCGTCAACAGTGGGTATCGATGCCTATTGATGCTAATCCGGGCTGCCAGACTGGTTCAGTTTCTCGCTGTCGACGATACATTGATTGTTTATGCGGAATTTCTGCAGGACGAGATCGGGATTGGGTAGAAAGCCGTGCTTGTATTCAGTTTGCGCGGAAACATGAGCTTGCCTAATCTTAGCAACAACAATCACGCATCGTCGCCCATTTATAGTGCCACGACTAGCACAACCGGCAACAAATCCGTGCCAAGAAAGTCTTCAAAAAATGATGTCTTACGTGCGGCTGTGGGCTTGCTGCTGAAGCAAAAGAACTATGTGGTAAGCAATGGCAATGGATCAATGAACGAACTAGGGACTATTTTTTGTTTGCAGGGCAACGAAAAGTTTCGCAAATCGGATTTAATTTTGCTGCAGAACAAAAATCAGTTCGCCGTGCACAAAATGCTGGAGAGTGACGTGCATGGCGGGAACAGCTTCACATACTCTAATGTGCAGGTTATCACAAATAATCAGCAGATGATTGATCAGCAGTTCGGACGCTTTTCACAGTTCGTCGAGGCGCAAATAGAACCGTTGCGCTTAGAAATGAAACGCTTCTATGCACCGATGTTGTGCCATCTCTACCTAGAACTATTAAAGGCGCGCGAATCGAAAGGTGCTGTGGATTTTCTCAAAAAATATGCGCACCTTGTTGCACCGGTGGATTTATATGATGCACCGCTTCCTACAAAAATCAATGGATGCTCGGTTACAAATGAATCACAGGTCGTTACAGCAACGGACACCTCTTGCCACATACGCTTTGCACGTGAGGCACAAGACACGGGGGATGCGGAGCTAGACTACTTTATGAAATTGGTACAAATATTGTCGGGTTGCACGAAAATGGAGACGGCCGAGTCGGACTCCACAGTGGCGCACTTCCGCGCCTCCAAATACGAAATACACACAACCGCTCAAGTAGTTGACAAAATGTGCACCTATTTGCAGCAGCGAGGGCATGTGCTCATCACGAATCTCATCTATACATGGCTTCACGTGCGCGCCATTGACAATGAGCAGCGCCTCTTTACAGAGGATCACCTGCTGTTGGGCACAACAGATGATATAGATGCTGACGATGGCATTCTGTCAGAGGATTATGGCGCCAGCTTACCTGCAACAATAGCTAGTAGCAGTCGCAGTGAGCACAAGAACAAATCCAGCGATAAGTCAAGCAAAAAACGCCCAGCTGAAGAACCCACCATTAAATTAGAGACGGAGACAAAGTCAGAGACAAGCGGCACCGTCGACTCTGCGGTTGATTGCAAAAGCAAACCGCAGCCGCTTGCACTCAATATTGACACCTGCCTCCAAACGCTTAAAACCTCCAGTACACAAATACAAAAAACCCAAGTAGAGCTCCCGCGTTTCTTCCAGATTAGCGAAAAGTCACGGGGACTCACGTCAGCGCACATCGATGTCAATGAATGCCACATGTTGGCTGGATTTGACAACTCAGCCATACAGCTGTGGCAGCTAAATCAGAACAGTTGCCGTGGTAAACACTTTTACAGGCGGTTTCAACAATCGCAATGTCCTTGGGAATTGAACAATTGCGACCAGGAAGAAGGTGAGGAGTTCGACAGTGATGATGAGGTGTCGAGGCTGACTACTGAGGAGCGTAGAGACCGCGACAAGGCATTGCGTAGCAAATACCCAGGCAACTCATTGTAAGTAAAGGAAAATTTTGTAAAAAGAAAACTTCAGACAATTTATGTTTCCTCTTTTCCTTAACAATTAACAACGAAATGTTGTAATTAAAATCTAAATTGACATTTTGCAGCAATGAATATGGAGGCATACAACTTCGTGGTCACACTTGTGGGGTCACAGGCGTGCGTTTCTCGGCTCACTACTCCCTGCTCTACAGCGTGTCCAAGGACAGCACATTACGCTGTTGGCGGGCCCACAATTTGCACTGTGCCGGCATTTATCGCAGTCACAATTACCCCATTTGGTGCATGGATGAAAGCCCAGTGGGGCAATACGTAGTGACAGGCTCAAAGGACTTAAGCGCACGACTGTGGTCGCTCGAGCGCGAGTATGCACTGATTATTTATGCTGGCCATACACAGGACGTGGAAGTAAGTTATAGTATAATACTAATTCAATAATTACCTATTCAATTATTTATGAATATACACCTAGGCCTCGCTTAACGTCGTGTTAAGCGAAATCGCGTTAAACGAGCCATGTATTTCCATACAAAATGAGGGGTTGCGTTCCTAGACTTCGAAATTGTTTAGTGTTTAAATTTATTAGTTTCAAAAACTTAAAAAGGTTTATTCAAATGGCAAAAGTTTTCAAAAGTAAAAAGAGAAAACATATGTATTAAAATAAAATGGAAATTCATTTAGTGGAATTTATAGGAGCTTCAGTAATTAACATTTTTTATATGGTGGCTCCCCTTGCGTGGCAAAAAAATCTGTAATTTTCGACTGTTTAGTGGCTCTTAAAGCTTCATAGTAGCTCTACTTATATGGTTTATTTTCTTTTGTTGCCATGTAGAAACTGCAATTTGTATAACTTACTTTATACCATTTTATTTCATTCAACGGTTAAACCATTTCACTTATCACAAGAATTTTAATCTTACTATGTGCGCGCCTGAAGAAATAAAGTTTTGCTCACCTTAGCAACTATTTATGAGTATGCACTCATTCTTACTCTGATGGTGTAGAAAGTGGGACTTCCCTTTTTATACACACATCTCATGTGTGGTGATACATACTATACCCAAAGATACTCATGCAATAATCGACAAAATAAAAAAATCGAACGAAATAGAACGAGGTATTTCACCGCGTTAAAAGATAAAAGGTAGCAATTTTTCAATCGCGTTAGACCGAGTTAGCATTAAAAGAGTTAGCGTTAAGCGAGGGCTAGGTGTACATATGTTAATTATTGATATAAACAAAACAATGAATCGAATCTTTTTAAAACGCTTTTAGTAGCTTTACCTGTATGTATATATGTAACGGAATCTTTCAGCGTAATTTTTACCAATTTCCAGAAGTCTGATCAGCTTGAAAATTCGCACAGGGGACAAGGGCTGATGACAATACAATAATTATTAATTGCATGATCATTTTAGACAATATTTTATTATTGTTTTTGGCATTATTATTCGCATTTGGTTCAAGCTAAACTAGAATTAATAAGATCATTATGAATTGGTATAAGATAAAGTTACTTTGTTTTACTTGTTTGAGTTTATTAGGTTTTTATTAGGTTTCCGCGAGCTAAAAAATGTAACAGGAGAAGGAGGCGTGGCAGACCCCACAAATTATACATACATACATATGTATATATTTTTGATCAGCGGTACAAGACGAGTCGATCTATGTCTGTCTGTCTGTATTAACACATGGATCTTCGAGACTTAAGAGCACAAAGCTACCTTAGTTGTGAAAGCTGTGCAAGTTTTTTTTTTTTATTTTCCCCTATGGGGGATTTCCCGATTATTCATTCGTATAATTGTCTATATCTCAGAGGCTATAAAAGCTATGGACACAACGTTTTAGTCCCAGATGCATTATGTAAATACGCAGAAAATGTGCATTTTGGAAATTTATAATGTTAAATGGCACCCACCGCTTTTTATTTTAATATTTTTCCAAATTAATTAGTCGTTTTGGTATTTTCTATTGCTATAACACAAGCTCTTGATACTCAAAAATTATTTTCTACTTTTTAATGTGGTTTGCCATTAAAGCGTGTTTTGTTAGTTTTTTAAGCTATAATTTGGAATGATTCTTTCCTATTTCCATACCGGTTCACTGTCTTAAGTGTTGTACTATAGATGGCTTCAACACCACTTTCATTCAAATTTAATAAAATTTTTGATCTTCCAGTGCATTGCATTTCATCCCAATGGAAATTATATAGCCACCGGTTCAGCTGATCATTCGGTGCGGCTATGGTGCACCACTAGCGGCAAACTGATGCGTGTCTTCGCCGATTGCCGTCAGGCGGTTACAACTCTGGCATTTAGCCCCGATGGCAAAATGTTGGCGGCCGGTGGCGAGGAGTCGAAAGTGCGCATATTCGATATTGCTGCTGGGACACAGCTGACTGAGCTGAAGGACCATAGTTCGACCGTTAGTTCGCTGGCCTGGAGCGCCTATAATCATCACCTGGCAACAACCTGCCACGATGGCACTTTGCGCCTGTGGGATATCAAGAAATTGGCACCAATGAGGTAGGAACTTGCATTGGGCTTAAAGGTTTATTTATATATTAGTTGATTCTCCACAGCGACAACAATTCATCATCGTCATCCTCATCAGCTACAACGATTCGTCTGCTATCTCTGAACAGTTCCTGCCAACGCTTGGTCGAAGTATTCTACGGGCGTAGCAAAACGCTCTATTGCATAGGATCTTAAAAACTCAATTTCTTTATTGTTCATTTTTGTTTTGTATTCGTTTATTGTAATAAGTCTGTATAATATTACTGTTATAACTCTATATATGTATAAATGGAACAATTTGTATTATTTTCGAACCACTTGCGCAACAGGTTGCGTTATGATAATATTTGGTTATGATGTTTCAAAGCCAAGTTCTGTTACACCGGATAATGGAGAGTGAACCCGAAAATCTCAGCTATAGAAGATCAATCATACACTTATATAGATCTACAAATCCTTTTGATTGCTTAGAGGTTTCATATGACCATTGCGCCAACTCTCGACAAGTTTCAGAAAAGTCTTAATTAATATAAAACCAGCTTTCCACGATATCCAATTTTTATATAACCTGGGAGGCGATGCTAATAAAACCGATTCGACAAGAACACAGTCATGTTCGTTGGACAAATGTTTTCATATTTTCTTGCAAAAGAATAATGGTTCTATTATGATATCTAAAAGGTTTTGCTTTTTAAATGCTATTTGCCTGTATTAAATTTTGACTTGAAATGTGAAAAAAATCACGCACATATATATTTATATATAATTTCTTTTTAGTTAAGCCAGCACACAAAATTTATGTATAGGTATGTACAATCTGATTTGTTGAATCTCACATTGAAGTTGATACTCACACAGCCCTTTAGGACAAAAAACACGTTGTGATGAAACAATACGTTGAACTTAATATATACAGATATCTAGTCTAAATGTGTTGTATATGTATGTAAATGTAGTTGGACTTAAATATACAGAAACTGGACAGTTCAACGCCATTACGGACAGTTAAAAACTGCGACCAAATTTGCTAGTTTCCTCAAATAATATTTGCAATCAACCTAAAATCTAGAAACTTTCTATTTGTTATTAATGTACGAATATATTGTTTGACATATAATAGTTGTAAATGAATAAATAGAAGTAGCTCATGGCCTAACAAACGAGTATAAAGTTATAATCCTCAAGTATAGATGCATGCAAGTACGTATTAATGTTCTCTCCTCCCTAACGCTTGTGGCGTCCGCGCATAAATTGCAATGTTTTTGCCATCAAGGGTGCTTTCTTTGGACGCATGGGTGCAACAGCTGTGTGGTATAGAGTAGATACATTTCATTACTAATATTTAGCATTCGATTTTGCTTACTCACCAACTTGTGCCGTGTCACGAGCTGATGCTGCCACACGCAAACGCGCATCACCAACCTTTGCCGCATTCGGGGTTACGCTGGAGAGGGCCGTAACGCGAGCCGCGGGCGTGGCTATCAATTTGCCCTTGGTGCCATATTGTTCCTGTTTTCGCTGCACATTGCGCGGCGGCTTTACCATTGAGTCCACAAAGGCTAATTGAGTTTTCCGCACAGGCGCTTCGCTTATTTTCTGTGACGCTTTGATGCTCTCGGCAAGTATGCTTAGCTTGCGATCCTTTTCCTCTTGACAGCGCTATTAAAGAATATAAGGGAAAATGAAACGTTCAACGATTTAACAAAGAGAGATTAAGATCTTTCCATTTATTCAGTTAGGCTTAAGCTTATGCATTGATATGTAAAAACTATTGTTAAAATTGAATTGGCCAAGTTGGGTTCGAAAACATAGTGCAATGCATGATTACTTTTACAGAATTTTTTATACCCTGTACCCGTAGGGTAAAAAGGGTATATTAGGTTTGTGCAAAGTATGTAACATACAGAAGGAAGCATCTCCGACCCCATAAAGTATATATATTCTTGATCAGCATGACGAGAGAAATCGATCTAGACATGTCCGTCCGTCTGGATGAACGCGAGGATCTCAGAAACTATAAAAGCTAGAATAACCAAAGTTGGCATCCAGATTCTCCTAGATCCGAGTAAGGACGAGTTTATTTATTTTTTTAATTTTCCCCCCTTCCCCCGCTGCAGAATTTCGTCAATAGCGTCCACATTTCAAATGCTACCTAAACCAAACTTTGCACAAATAATTATCTACTGTTGTTCAAAATTTTATTCAATTCTGTCAATTCTAAGAAAAGTTATTAGCGAAACAAATTCTCGCCAGTACAACCCCCACAAACTGCAGCAACAAGTTCGCTCTACTTCTTCCTCTTTTTATACCCTGTACCCGTAGAGTAAAAAGGGTATATTAGGTTTGTGCAAAGTGTGTAACATACAGAAGGAAGCATCTCCGACCCCATAAAGTATATATATTCTTGATCAGCATGACGAGAGAAATCGATCTAGACATGTCCGTCCGTCTGTCCGTCCGTCCGTCCGTCTGGATGAACGCAAGGATCTCAGAAACTATAAAAGCTGGAATAACCAAAGTTGGCATCCAGATTCTCCTAGGTCCGAGTAAGGACGAGTTTATTTTATTTTTTGGAATTCCGTTCCTATTCTATTTCTAAACTTTCAATATGAGTTCATGTTTTGGAATAGTATTCATAAAGAGGTTTACAATTTGGTTGATATAAGATATGCCCATCTCTGCAGAACAATTATTTACAACCTGAATTGTTGAAAACTAAAAATTAATTAAAAATTCTATACTTACCAAAAACATTTCACGCCACGTTTCCATTTCCTCTCGTTTTTGGCTGCGATGATGACGTTGTACATGGTGCTGCCACAGGACATCACTGTCATCCATCAGATAGGGGTTGTATTCCTCAAAATTAAGCAACTGCTGTGGTGTAGCGCGTTCCAGAACAGGGCGTAGAACCTCGAAGGGTACACCACCGGTATATTCGAGTGCTATAAATATGAAGAAACGGTTCGCCAATAAGTTGGGGGAAACTTTTCCTTCATACGCATCACTTACCATCGATGTTCTTCTGAAGAATACGGATGCACAAGTCAAATAGTGAGGGTACTTGTAGTATTTGTCCAGTCTTGACACCCGAGTAAATTTTTGTACTGAAAGAGTTTTATGCGTATTACGCGTATTAATATTTGAGTGATAGGCCTCCTTATCCAATTAAACTAACCGCATTGTTTTGGACGAAATTCCATGGGCTAAAGCCTCAGATTCATCGAAATTTCGCTGTACTGGCTTATGCGAGTTGTTGCTTCCAGAATTGAAAACCACATCCATGACAGTTTGATTAAGTGGCATGGGTTTATAATTATTCGATATGGTTGGTAATTCTAAAGCGATACTGGGATCCAGTGGCTCCAATTTGGCAGTGGAAGCTAGGAGATCTGGTTTCTATAGAAAACATTAATATAATTAACGATACCGATAGGGTCGGCGTTTTTACCCGAGTAGTTGTTGTTGTCAGCTTGATGCTGGAACTTAACTCTGCTGCAGGCGATCTATGGGCTTTCTTCGATGCGGTTGTCGTTGATGTTGCCTTGTTGGGAGTTTTTGGTTTGCTGCTACTCTTCTTGCTGCTCATGGGCACATTTAGCATGCCAAGCACATCATCAAAGTTGGCACCCATAGTGGAATCAAAACCATCCGCCGTATCCTCATTACTTAGAGCTTCGGCTTTTGTTTTGGTCTTTGCTATCTTGGGCTTCGGCGATACTTCGTCGACAGTACGATCGGAGCTGCGAGCTCGCTTCGCTGACTTGGCCGATCCAGATGAGGATGATTTGTGTTTGCTGGATTTGTCTTTGGAGTGGCTATGAACGCTATGAGACTTGTGCTACAATAAAATAATAGCCATTACGATTACCTTTTGTTCTATACCTGTTCCCCAGATTCAAGGTTTTACCTCTTTAGTTTTTTCGTGCGTTGAGCTGCGCACCTTGCTTTCTCCGCTTTTGTGGCTCTCCGATTTACTGTGATGGCGATGCTTACTCCTGCTCTCATCACTACTGCTCTTACTGCTGCTTTCGACTTTTGCGCTCGTCGATTCTTTCGGCATACGCTCTCCGTTGCTTCGTTCGTCCTTGTGAGACTCGTGCCTTCGTTCGCTATTTTTCGCTTTATCATGCCTGCTGCTCTTGTGTTTTTTCTCACCATCCGACTTGGTTTTCGAGTTACTTTTGCTATTACTACTGTGATGGTGGTTGCTGCTGCTTGATCTGATTTTGTGTTCAGTAGTCTTATTGCCGTTGCTCTCTCTTTCCCGACTACGCTCTTCGTGACTATTCGACTTGGCCTTGAAGTGCATTTCATCAGAGCTGGACGTGTTGCTACCCTTGTTCCCATTCTCATTCTGATCTAAATCCTCGTCACTGGAACGCCTTCCGTTCGACCGGTTTGAGTCCTCTTCATTGCTATTGTGAGTTGCTGGCTGTATGGGTTCTTCTTCGGCCGCGACCATGGCCTTCCATTTTGTGACTAGTGTTTTAGCAGCAATGCCAACTTCACCGTTAATTTTCCGCAGGGTGTTAACGGTTTTTCCAATGCCGGTCTCCTGCAGGTGCTCAAATTTAATGGGCAAGTTGAACAGCTTAGTTATGCAGTGTAGAAGCTGCAAGCAAAGACAGAGAAGGCGAAATGCATGAATTCTAAAGAAAGTTGCATGCTGAGCCATGGGCTTAAGCAGCGGCACGTGGATTATGTTGCAGATGCAAGATGGTGTGTGTGTGTGACAGGTGTTTTGAGGTAAAGCAGACACCCGCTTCTCTCAAAACACGTACATACTCTCTTTAGCAATTCTGCTTTTGTTACGCGCGTGCGAGAAAAAGGTCAATGCACAACAAAAACAACGAAAGACTCGTTGTTGGCAAAAACGTTTGTGGGAAAATATACTGCGTCACCAACTTTTTATATTTTGGTCCATGAAAATATTGTTAGCATCAATGCAAGGCACATACACCCACATGCATACCGCAAATTTATTTGTGAGTGTTCTCGAAGCAATTACACAAGTATGGAAAATCGACAATGATTTTTTTTTGTATTCGAATGAAAAAACTTACGCGTGTCTCATCCTGGCCGTGCCGCTCAATGCTACGTTGATAGTGCCGCACTACGTCGGCCAAATTGCTTGTAGACGTCATTGCAGTTGCACTTGCTTTAAATTAAATTTGCGTGTCGTGCTCACACTTTTTTTAACTGGATTACTGGGCCGTAAAATGAGGCAGCAGCGGTGGCAAATTTTATTAAGCTGCTCGACACTTTGTTGCATAAAAACAATTACACTGCTGCCTTGGAAAGCACACAAGACCAGGTACCCTGGACTGGCGCACTTGAATTCGCTTAACTATTGCATGTATTTGCACTTCACATAATCACCGACACAAATAAAATTCACAAATTCAATAATATCTCCGACAACTCGGATTTTGCGTTCGCTTTTACTTGATTTCTGTCACTTGCTTTTAACTCTATTTGACGTGAGATTCACTCTTTGTGTCAGTTGATATTTTTCAACACTGTCCACACAAACAGCTGATAGCCTTTACCATAAGTGGCATCACTACCAACTATAAATTTATTATTTTCCGGGCGTCCTTTCTATTATTTTGGCGCGCCTTCATTTGTATTTACAGCCATGTCGGATGATGATTGCGATATATTTAGCATATCGCGGAAGCGGGCGCAGGCACAGGGTAAGTTTTGGCTCAACCCGATTGGTAATAAGTTGTTCACCTCTATTAGCATTTTCAGTGCTTCCGCAAAAAATACCCAGCCTTGTAGATGTTCCGTGCGAACGAGCTGCCGATTATGATTTTATAACCAAAAAAGACACAAAAGTGAAAAAAGCCGCTAAATATTCAAAAATCAAAGAAACCAAACAGACTGAAATTAAGAAGAATGTACGTAAAAATGCCAAAAAATGTGCAGATTCAGAAGAACTGGAGGTGCCAACAGAACCTCCGCCGTCATCGCTACCATCAGTTAAAACTGGAGCTGTGCTGCCAGAAGCTCCACCTCTATCACCCATTTCTCAAATGATATTTGAAATGGAGCAAAAGAAAATTGGTGATATGGAAAATTTGCCGGTGGCTAGACGGACGCGTTCCTCGCATGGCAAACGGCAACCCTTGCCTGAACCTGATGATATTGTAGAAAAGGCGCCATCGCCGCCAAAAAGGCGTGGGCGAAAATCCAGGGCAGCCGCCGCATCATCATCTGCTGCAGTCTTGGAGACCTTTTTATTGGTAAGTTTACAATATTTCAAAATGCACTTTTAATTTAAGCTTTGTTTTTTTTTTATTAGGGAAACACGGCAACTAGATCGCAGAAAACCCGCAGACAAGCTGTCGCTGAGATTGCTGCTCATGCGCCTGTAGTCGATTCAGTTGATCTTGTTTCGGCTGTTGTACCTCGCGTTGAAGGCTTCGTAAGTTGTAGACACGGTCGGGCCTTTGGCGTACTCATAGCTCTTTATACTACAGGTTAATTTAAATTCGGATGAGGAGAATGAGGAGCCGGTGGATAAACACGTTTGCGCTGTGGAGGAAGATTTTGATTGGGATAATCCTCTCGTAGATGTTAGTTTATGCTGGCTTGGTGAAATTCAAGTCTATAAATTGAGAAAATATCAGAAATTTTCGCATATATTCAAAGAAATTGCTGAGCGTAATAATGTAGCTGAAAAAGATATTCTTATAAATTTAGACGCTCATTTCATTCAGCCGAATGAATCGCCAAACAGTATTGACTTGCAGATCTATCACATAATAAGTACGTATTATGAATAAGTATATATGTGTATATCTATTTAACAAAATTGCTGAAATCTTCAAGATGGCCGCGCTGTCAACAATAACAAAACGGAGATTAAAAGTAAAGATCATAAAGAAATCTATGATCATCAAAAATTACTGCGTAAGCCTAAGAATTTTCAATTAAAAGTGCAAGCTGATGAGTGGAAGAAACCGTTGATCATTCCACTGGACAAATCGGAGACATTCAAAATACTCTACATAAAATGCGCTGAGGAACTAAATTGCAAAGTTCAGGAAATTCGGCTGCTGTAAGTATAATGGTATAGTTACATATAGAATGGAAAAAATTAGGTTCTGTTGATATAAAGAGCGTCAATCGTTTCCTATTCAAATCCCTGTTACATTCTACTGCAACTAAATTTTCTATGATCTTATTATACTTATAGGTTTGACGGCGAATTCCTGGATATTAATGATACGCCAGAGAATCAAGATATGGAAGGCAATGAAATGATCGATCTGCGTTTTGTCAAATAAAGCAGGGTCTTACAATATTTATTTAATTAATCTAATCGGTAACAAAGTTAATCTTATGTTTTGTTCGTTAGAATTTTTGTAATTGTTTATGAATATATATTTAAAAATAAAATTTAAAGTCTTAAAGCTTAAAAATTTGTAGCTGGCGGCATCTTTCACAGAAGTTTTGTATCTAAAAAGACAATTTTCTGGGAATTCTTGAGTGTTGATTTAATGCTATATTTTTTACATAAGCCAGATGCTGGGTGAATAGTTTCAAAGTTTGCTGTAGGTATTGGGGCGTAGTTCTGCTTGGCGAATAACCATGATTGCAATCATGCTGTTAAACGAATTGGGATGAATTCTATGCGCATTCTATCCTCTCGATGTTAATGAATGTAGTGAATTCGAAAACGTATGTGACATTAATTCTAAAGCTGCTTCTGTTTTTAAGCATTTATAATGTTACCAATGGAATCGCAAAAAGCTAAACATTTGACGTACACCCCTGGTACATTGTGCTGTTGTTTATCTAACATAGCGGTATACATCGATAGCTACTCACACTCTGAAGGAAATCATTGTTTATATTCGTGTGTGGATAATGGATGCTGTGCGTTAGGGTTGCTGTTGCTGCTAGGTGGTGGGGTTTGGAATAGTTCCGTTACCCATACCACACTCTCAGATTTGTTGTCGCTCTCACTCTCTTTCTCTTTATATCTTGCCCAATGGCCTCTCCTCCTCCTTTAGTTTCCCTTGGAATTTCAACTGAACAAATTCTGACACAGGATAATGCGAAACTTTTGCGAGAGTAAGAACTGAAGCTTTTAGGAGAGGCAAAGCGCCTTGCATCAGCTGCCAGCCATCGCTTTTTATCAGAAAGAGTTCATCCTTCGTGCTAAATGGACGTAATTTTTGTCGTGTTCACGGCACAGAACGTGTAAAACCAATTTTCATTTTGTGTTCCAACTAACGCACAATAAAACCCAAAAATAAAAATTCGCAGCAACAATAAATCACAACCTTCGAATTGGAGTTTCAGTGCAACAAAAACCAATAAATAATAATAATAGCAACACAAGTGCAAAACAGTGCTACAACAACAAAACAAAATTCAACACTTTTATAATAGCGTGTCGCCTACAAAACATATCCTGGCTATATACATACATACGTACATATATCCACCTCTTTTGGAGCAACTTGGCGCGTAAATTTCATACATTTATATAAATTGGAAACAAAACGAAGCAATTTTCTGCACACCTTTTTCGCAGTCGGTAAAGAAAAGCTTTTACATTCATACATATACATATATATAAATTATATTATATACTTACATATACACATATGTAAGTGTTTTCAGTTTCTTGTAGCTGTTTTCACAGGCATTTGTTTTGTTCGCTTGGCATTGATAAATGTGTTTGACATGTTGACTTTGTCGTGCCACCAACAATTCAGACGCGCTCACTCTCATAAACAAAAACATCGTCGGTTAAACAAATCAACTGAAACATTTGTATCATTACATGTCTGTGCGTGCATTCATTTGCACAAACTTGTCTGTACTTGTGCTCCCTTATGAGCACATCAACATCAATAATTTAGTTTGATTGTCCGAATATGTATATAGTATTTCCGCATTGCACGGCGACGACTAAATGAAGTTGAGCTTCAACTCAATCATCCTGATTATATCCGTGTGCCTGTGCGTCTGTAGAGAGCACTTTCAATACAGTGAGCTTTGTGTAGAGTGAATAAACTTCTTTAAAAGAAGAAATACATATGTACTTAGTTTCCACAGTGCAGGCAATTGGCAATGTTATCTTCGGCAGTTCTTGATCAAACCCATCTTTTAGTTCCAGACACATGACATGTATTGAAAATATTGTATTGAACATTATACTACAACTATTAAAATACATTCATTTAAATTGTAACAATATAAATTGAAACAGCAGTAGCTTATGAAAAAAAAAACATATTTTGTTACATTCTACATAGTATTTCTACTGGATTTCATATACTTTTAAAAACAGTTGCAAGCTTAAGCAAAAGCTTTGTCTTGTTTACTTAAAGATAATCTTTATTATTACCAGCCACATCTTTTTTTAACAAAATAAAGTTGAATGACTGCCCCATGGTTTTATGTGTGTATATTGTTATTGAGTTGTACTTGAGTTGTCTTTCTATGAATGAATCTTTGTATTAATCACAAAGTTGGTTTGCTCATTTAGTTCCTCAAGCAAGAGTTCTTGCTATTTTATTTTATTTATTGAAACTATTAGAAATGTAATTCGCCCAGGAACATTAGCTGTCCGATTAACAGCTAATATAATTTCAAGACATTTATTACTTACATTGTTAGTAAATACAGTAAATACAAATTGCTTTATTAGTTCTAGTATCAGCTGTGGCTATAATTCAATCATATGTATTTGCTGTTTTTAGAATTCTTTATTCTAGGACCAATTGGTGGTTAATCATCAATCAAACCCATGCCAGTGGTCTTATAAATGAGATTTACGCTAAAATGTACTTAAATCCCCCATCAAATATTTTGATATTTTAAACAGTTAATGTATTTAAGGACTTCTGGCTTGAAACAAATTTTTCGTTTTCAACAAATCGTGCAACAAATTTGTCAAAATCGAATTAATTGAATTTCTTTGCCGTAGGTGCGATTAAAAATTGTAAAATGAAACTATTTAGAATGCAAGCATATAATGAAGGCGTAATAATATCAGGAGAGTTTCCTGTTAGAAATGTAAAAATGTAATAAAAGAGAGAAATCTTACCTTAAATGTGTGTAGAAAAAATGTAAACATTTTCTTGTAATTCACGTTAAGGTACAAGTAATACGCACACATGTTTTTGTTTCCAAAGATTGAAGTGTAGACCTTCCAAACACAGCATATATGTAAGTGTAATCAAGAGAATTCAGCTTCGAAAACAATCCCCTAACCCTAATTAGTTGGCCTAAATGAGAGCTTACTGTATTTGTGTGTGTGGGTGTTTGTGCGTGTAGCTTACGCATGAGAAGCGAAGTGCTTCGCTCACTCACTTTGGGCCGTTGTACGAGTAGCTACCAATGTTTTGTTGCTAAAAATAAAACGTGACACCTGCAGAACTCGTCCAGCATAAAGTCAGACCTGATCTGAACGTGCCCAAAAACCAAACAGAAAGCAACTTAAACCAAACCCAACCCAAATCAAATACGAGCCGGCAGCTTGAACTAATGCCCCCTAGTGGCGTTCGTTTCTGTCGACTACTTGGCCAAGTTAATGGCTCGGCTAGTGTTACCAAGACCATTGGAGTTAGATACGTGCCTCGAGTGCAACCTGCCTGCGCAGTCATTCATGATGTGGGATTTGTGAAATGGTCTGTTGCTGTCACTTATATGCACATCTGTTGATGTGATTGCGACCAATCAAGGTTAGTGGCGGAGTGGGTGGTTGGTGGTTGGCAGTTGGCGGGTGGTAGCATGTTTGTTGGCTGCAAGGCCAACTACACACACACACACACAACTACACCTATTGCATACGTACATAGGTACATACGACTGGGTCGACCTTCAAATTAGTTTGTGCTGCATGCGAGCCACACGCTATTGCCTAAAAAGCTTTTTCCAATGGCACATGCTTTAAACTTTAATTAGCATATTTTTCACGTTTTCTTTTTTCGCATTTTTTTTTTGTAGTCAACTGGTTAGGCTGATAGGACAAGGCTTATGGCTGCTATTTTTAAAGCAGCGTGCGCCAGACCGGAAATAACGTAACAAACGACACATTGGGCCACAATTTGCGCAAAAACACACAGACACACACTCACAGCCATTTATTTACACACTGTTACACACACACACACGTACGAAGACATACAGGATGTGCTGCATGTTGCAGTTGTTGGTTTTGCGGCTATTTGTAGTTGCATTGTCTGTTGGTCGGTCGGCCTTCGCATCCACAAAGCGTACAAGCCATAAGCGATTGTGACAAAAAAAAGCAACAACAAAAATTGACGCCATTTTGTCATTAATCCCATTCACGTTGTAGCCTTGCGATAGCAATACGAATGGCGATGGCACACGCACAAAAGCCTTTTAAAATACTTTTGTACTTGGTCCTTACATATCTTTTACCTTAAAGCGCCAATTGTTTGAAGAACAAAAACAATTAAGATTCTGTGGCTATCGTTTCAGATCAATAAATGTTTCAATGATCCTGAAAAGAAACGTCAGATGAGTCAAAAGTTGGAAATTGTTCGCTTTTGTGAATTGTTATTAAACGATGTACATACTTTTTTGTATCAGATTCAGTTTCAGCAGGAAATCCCTCTGTAAAGATTAGACATAATGTTGCAGCATTTGCATTCTATCTAGAGCATCAATCACATTTTTAAATACTTTTTGAAACATTAATTTGTAATAAATCGAAAGTTGTCCAAAAATTTTATAAATCTTGTTATCGTTGTCAAGAACTAAATCCTCACTCTTATCTGAATATGTAGTTAAAATCTAAAGAAGTCAGAAAAGCAAAGCTTGATAAAGGGATAGAAATATAGATGCATAAAAATAAATAAATAAGAAACATGAAACATATGTATTGTACATCGAAATATACATACTAATATTGCAGATTGAATTCGATGAACGCTGCTTATGAAATCGGTACTTTTAAAATTGATAAATGTGTTAAAAACCAGCCATATCTACTTATTAATTTTGAACTTTTCTTGAAAAAAGACAATTCGCTTCAAATTAGTGCTTTGAATTAAGGTTTAGTAGTGTTTCATAACTTGAAATAAATCGCATTTAGATCATAAAAAATCTGGTACTCACTTGACTTTAATCGGAGCTGTTTTTTTGACAAGTATTTGGAAGTATTTCTTTTAAAATCCTCCACCTGATGCCTCTAAAGACATTCAGTCCTTGAAACTCACTTTAACTAAAGTGAAAAATCATAGTAAGAAATTATAATAATCGTACACTTTCCTTTTAATGAACCGACGACCTTTTTTTATCTAATATTCGAATTATTCGACTTACCTATAGGTATCCACAATTACTGAATACATTCGTTCTTCCAATGTAAAGTGAGTCTCTGCCCGATCTTGTACCGACTTGTTAGCTTTTGTTTGCTTTTACCTTTATTCTGTGTTTTGTGTTTTTTTGCGAATTTGTGGTGCAATGGCTAAAGTGGTTTATTACCTTGTTTTACAACTCACAGGCAACAATTGGCGCAGCAGATCTTTTGTTTGTACCAACAACCCTTCATGGGTTGGCGTTTTGGGCCTCGGTTTGGGTGCAGACGGGTCACCATTAAGTGTTGCAGTCAGTCAGCCAGTTAGTCAATGATTTGTTACTTTGTACAAGTAAATGCGAAATGGGAAATGGTTCACGTGTCGCGTGCATTGAACTGTTGTTACAATATTTTCTTGGCATGCTGCCCATGCCACAGACACGCCCACAACTGCTGCAAGTGCAACAAACTAGACAAACAGCTGCATCATGTACATAGTATACGGGTATATGATGAGTGGGAGACCCCCATTCTTATGTGCTTTGTGGTTTCAATTATTGTTGCCCTGCCTGGCATTTCTGGGTCTGCTTTGCATTCGCATTTGTGCCCCAAAGCTATTGAATGCTTTTTAGTGTAACTTCGTTCTCGGCGACAGCGTCTACATGCAACACTGTCATTGTTGGCGTTGCTTGCTCCTTTTTGCGCCAGGTTGCACACACAAAGCTCTTGGAGTGTTTCCCAAGTAGGGCTCCACCCACGCTAGGAAGGAGTCGGCAAGGAGTGTGAATGCGAGTGTGAGTGCAAGTGCTTTTATTAAAGTTTCGTTTTGTTTGCATTCAACAATGTACATAACAGGCAACGAACGCCAACAACGACACCGGCAAAGTGCCACTGCCAGTGCCAGGAGCAGGACCAGGCCCAGCAGCCGCTTCAACTCCAGCAACAACATCAACAATCAGCGACAGGCGACAACAGACGTGCTGTAGCTTTTAAATGGTGTGAGGAATGTGTGCATGAGTGTCCCTAAAAAGCGCAACGACACAAACTGTTGCTGAACTCAAAGTTTTATGCTGGCATAGGTAGGAAATGCCAGCAGTATCAGCCATACATCGTTTTTTTCCTATATAATAGAGTCTTGAGTAGAAACAACGCTAGTGCAAATGAAGTTCTTCTTTTGTACTTATCTCTCAGCAGATGAATATTTCAATACATAGTAAAAGATGTTTATTTAGAACGGCGTCTTCTTGTTTATTTAACAAACCGCAAACAGATAATCTTTATCAGCTTAAGCTTTAAAAGCATTGATCTATCAGTATACAAGTATGTAAGTTTTTCAGGTGGAGTAATGATTGAAGCAGTCAGATGTCCCGACTGTCATATTTTCAAAAGGTTATACTACCAAGCACCTAAGAGAATATCCCCCAACCGTTTTGAGTGAAAAGTTTATTTTTTTTATTTTTTATTAGCAGAGTGTTTTTATTTAAAACTGTCCATCGTGGACAATCATTAAATTGGTAAAATAAACTTCACAATAATTGATTTCATTTATGATGAAGTTGTAGTATCCGGCTAGTCCCAGGGGTGGTCCAGACGATGGGTCCTGAGCAGCCTCCTGGTCCGTTCGCTGTTGAGTGAAAAGTTGTCAACAAATTTCAAACGACCTTTATTGCACTCGCCTTTAATTTATCTCAAGCTTACTGCTTTTCATATAAATTTTTGAATACCTAGGGACATTAAAACTATGTGCTTAAATTTAAAACAAGGATTACAGCTGTCTTAAAGAGAATTTGAAGAATAGAGTTGAGTTTTCAATGAACTATATTTATTAAAAAAAGTATCTGCTATATAAAGTTAACAGCAATTGTATACATAACAACACCATGCAATTTAAAAAGCCATTTAAAGCGCTCTAACTATCTTTTCTGTTTATCTTTTTGCAGTCGGAATAAACAACAACAAAAAGGACAACACCCATTACTGGACCAATTTTATAAAACAAACGAACGCAAACACAATCAACTCTACTCACCGACTCGTAGTATTATATATGTACTCCTATATGTATCATTTACAACAACAACAACTTTACAACGCAACTTTTTGGATACACATATCTTTGAATCAGCAATAAGAGAAGCAACAGGAACTGTAGAAGGGGCCACTGTAAAAAGGAGGAAAAAGGAACGAAACAAAAAGAAGGAAAAAGGGCCACGACTCCCACATACCCCTAATACCAAAATAAATCCCAAAAACTAGCCAGCAAAATTGGTCAAATGTTATGTTGTGGCTTCTGCTGTGGCAACATGTCAAAACGAGACTACAAGGTGGCCACAACGGATGGCATCGAACTGGAGCCGCTGGGAGGCGAAAAGAGTGAGAAGGAAAAGGATAAGGAAAAACAAACAAATGGCGTCACATTTGGTAAGTTAAACCAACCAGCTAACCAAACCAACCAACAAAGATTCAACACTTAATTTAATGCACACATACCACGCGCGCGTGTGTGTCTGTGTGTGTGTGTGTAATTGCCTCAAAGGAGTCGCCAACTCCCGCGCCCCCTTGATATGATTAAAGAGAGCTCCTTGCATTGCCAACGAAGTGCAGAAAAGTGCATAATTGCACTTGTGCATAATTTGACGCTTCACGCATGCTGTTCTCCTGCTTCGTCCTTCGTGCTACTTCCTTGTTGCTTGTTGTGTGGCACCCTTTGCTGCCGAATCCTCGCCGGAGCTTCCCTTCTGCAGTTTATTCATCAAGTTGTTTTCTTAATTACGCCAAATGCAAAACAAAAGCATTAAAATGCACAAGATAAAGGCACAGGCACAGGCACAAAAATGCACGAAGCGTTAATGTGAACGGACAGACGCTGCTACTTCTGCTCCTGTTCCTGCAGGAAACCGTTAGGCATATGCGCTCATGCATGCGTCCTGCCCCTCTGGCCAGCATAGCCGCAAATAATTGTGATGATGATGAATGTCAGACGCTTGCGGTTTGCCGCCGTCCTCGTCTGCCTTTTGCTTTGGTCCTCTTTTTTATTTTCAGCGCAATTCGCATATTATTTTTCTTATTTTTTATTGTGACGTTGCCTGGCAGCGATTTTCCAGCATGTTGCTTCTTTGACGTTGCACTTGGAAAAAAAATGGGGTTGCATACAGAGTTTTCAGGATCCCTTCCCGAAGTTTCCACTCAAAACCAAAATTACATGAAAATTTAACATTTAATTGGGAATCTGGCAGAATATTAAATTTTTTGCTTCCACAAATTATAATAATGTTTTGTTATTTTGATTTCAAGAGAGTTAACAAATTTAACACTGATTTAATTCGAATTACAAAATCATAGAAAGCATTTGGTGGAGGAAGAAACTAAGCCAATGTGGACCTCTATATATAGAAAATAAAGATATTGAAAATCTAAAAATTCTTGTGTTATAGTTTTAATATGTTAATTATGTTATATGTTTTGTAGTTGCCCTGAAGACGGTTACCGTGGCGTAACCGAAATATATCGGAAAAAGAAAAGAAAATTAAATAAATTGGTTTTTCTTACTCTGACCTCGAGCCGGCCAAACAATAAAAATAACTATGAGGAAGGTCACCAAAATACTCAACGAAAATCTATTATTTGAAAACGTTTTATTTTTTAAACAAGATGATGAAGTCAATAAATTGATTGAATTGATATAATTTTAAAAGTGTTCTCATTTAATTTACATAATCAAAGATAATAACAACCTTCTTCCTTAAAGATATATGTACGTACAGAAAAATTTACTTCTATGAGCTAAGAAGTTCATTTAAATATTATTATTTGATGTCGTACAAGTACATTAATTTAATAATATGTATACTTAACTAATATTATCTAAAGATGCTGAAAGGCTATTAAACTTAATTATTAGTTGAATTGAAAGCTGAAAATAATAGATACTGAAGCATTTGGCATTTTAATCAAAAAGTTTGTGATTTTCTTTCTTGAAATATTTGTAGCGGTTGTTTGCTTTATTGCTGCAACTGAAATTAGCTAGAGCTAGGCTAGTCCCGGATCCTCCTTTCCCATTCGCCATCCAAAACGATTGCTGACTCTGTGAAGCGTAAATGAAGATACGGAAGGATTGAAAGATTTGTTGTTCGCTTGTATTTCATTTAATTTCTAAGTAATGTGATATTTCAATGGCTTTCCAAGTCCACTAAACCTCCTAATTTTACTCCTAATTATATTTTATGGCTGTCATCGCTTGGCATAACTCAAGTGTCTGTATTCGGCCCCCATTGGAACATTCACAAAAGAAGATCATGGCCATTGCTTTGCTTAATTCGAATCGATAGTTAACGATGATGTTAGATTAACTGTTCATCATTAGCAACATTTCATTAATTCCAAAAATAAATGCAGCGTTCAACTCAGCTTTAATTTACTTCACTTTATTTTATCAATGGCAAACAAAACAGACTGATGACCTAAAATACTTCAATTAATTACTCATCAAAATGTGCGTACTGATAGTTTGTAGCCATTTTGATTCCTTCCTTTACTTTGGATACTGCATCTCTGAGCTAGATTTTAGGGTCTGCTTTTTTTCAGTGTAGCCATCAGCTCACTATTTACTGCTGACGCAGTGTCTGGCAGGCAGACAGGAGTAGGGCAAAGGAGCAGTCAGGGAGCAAGACTTACTGCCTGACAGTCGAACTGTCAGTCAACCTACGAGCCCGTCAGGCAGTCGAGCGGTCTTTGTAAAGTGAGCATTAAGGCCTCCTCAGTCAGATTCGTGCCAGCCATTTCAATTTGTCGTTCGTTTTTTTTATCCGCCTGCGTGTGTATGTGTATGCATGAATTGGGCCCCTGGGGCTATTACTTTATTATTACGTATTAAATAAAATTTCGACAAGAGCCCAACGGGTTAAAAGACGCAAATATGGAATGGTTTGCAACCCCTTAACGGAGTAAGACTAAGACTGAGTCTCCTTCATTTTTTATCAATATTTTTATTATCTGTAAACGAAATCATTCTCACTTGTGCACGCCAGAAACCCGAGTGGAAGGCTTTTGAAACATGCTTATTCCCTCACCTACACATACAAACGACTATGCACTCGTATGAGTGCGAATAAAAAGCAACCTCCAGAGCCAAGCCCAAGGCAAGCCAAAGCAACGCAAAAGGCGCCAATGCCAAATCAGTGTCACGGGAACAGGACGTGTGCTTGTCACCCACGCAATTAAGGATGCATGAAATGGAGTAACCACTTGACGGAACCGCAACCTCATGTGCATGTCAAATTCAGATGCCTATATGCATTTACATACTTGTATATATGTATATGTATGCTTCCATAACACGCGATGTTGTGTCCAAACCAGTTCAAAGAGTCAGTTTAAAACAGGAAAGTGTGCTTCTTCCCTACAGATGTTATGCTATCTCTTAAAGCTGCTTCATTAATAAGCTCCCGAAAAATGTGTAAACGAAATATCTGGAGTCTATTTTTAAACGTAGCCATAGACATTAAGAACTGCAGACTCCCTTAAGCAGATTATCTAAAAATAGCATGGCTTCTAAAGCCCTTAAAATGGCATTCGTACAGCAGTCTTATTTAAGGAAAATGAAATCATAGATAATCATAGAAATCATAAGAAAATTGCACATTGAACTTTGAAATTAATGTAAAACAGACCTGAAGCAGATTGTCCTCGACTCCACAATTAACAATTAATATCATTAAATTTTATTGGACGCACCTCACAGACACACACAGACACCTACACGGTCTTTTGATACTAAGTCTAAACAATTTAAAAAAGATGACAAACTTTTTAAGTTAGGTGAACCAAAATTTGAGAAGTTTCGGTTAAAGCTTTAAAAGAAATTTTTGTTTAAAGCCACAAAGCCACCCACTTCGTTTTGCTTAAAAGTTTCTCTAAATTTTAAAAATGGATTTTCAACTAGTTCATAAATTTGGACAACTCCCATGTTTACCTGTAAGTTGTGTGTGTGTGTTTTTGTGTCGCTGCTATGGAAGCGAGCAGCTTACACGTGGCCGGGCACATTTGTCAAGGAGCCTCGGCCGCGGCAAAGTTGTCAGATTGCAACGTGCATCGGATGATGTTGCAGGAGCAGTAGCAGCAACAGCGGCAGCGGCAGCAAAAGAAGTAGCAACAGCTGCCAACGTTGATAATTACGGGATGCGTTGATTGCGTTTTCAATGGGCTCAACACGCACACACACACACTTATATATGGAGCACTTGCCGCATGCAAAACACATACATACATACTATATGTGCAGACACTTGAGGCGGCTTGACTTAAATAAAGAAATCCTGCATCCCGTTCTGTGAAAAAATAGGGCTAGAAGAAACAATGTAGACACTGTAGGGCTGCCTCGTCACTTTTGCTGTTGCTGTTGCCATTGCTGAAGTGGGCCAGAGAGTTTTGTTGGTTTGTTTGTTTGTATATACATAAGTGTGTGTATACACATATATATATATATACATATATACGTTTAAGAATATACATATGCATCAACAAAGTGAAAGTAAAGGCGGAAAATGTGTTTTTAGGTCAGTCAGGCTTGCATGGCACTTCAAAACGTAACTCAAGCAGGAAACGGGAAACTGGGCGAGGGGACTAAAAGAAACCGAGAAATAAATACATATACAATTGAAAAGCAGCCGTCACAGCTCAATTTAAATGGCAAGCGTCAAAACGACAGCAGAGACCAACGCAAATAATTGTTGCGAAATAGCGCAAGCGAAACACAATTAAATGCGGCTACAAAGCCAACTTTGAGGCGCGCACTTGAGCGCCCAAGGCAATGCAATGCAATGCCCCTGCGTGTGTGTGAGTGTGTGACTGTATGAGCTGGTGTATATGTGTGAGTGACTGACGCAGCAATTAAATGGAAATGAAAATTACAAAGGAACGAGCGCAGTCAGCAGGCAGGCAACCCAATTGTGGTTGCGAAAACTGTAGCATACTTTTCAGCGCCACTTGAATCAGACCCAGGCCCATTTGGATTACTGCCACTTTGGTCATGCTGCTGTTGTTACTGCAGCCAGTCTAATATTGCTGGATTATGCATCTGGAGCGATGCAGGATGCCCTCAACTTCATCCTCGTCGAGCTCAGCAAAATTTCTGCTCAATTAGTTCGCATTTATACTTTTGCTTGTGCTTGTCAAGCGATTCGTATTAATTGCACTCTGGTACCATGTGGTATTACATATTTCCCCATTGCTGTTTTCCATGCATTTGAACTTAACTGGTTTCTTTGCTCGCTTCCCTTATTTCTATTTTGTTGTTGCTCAATTCATCAGCAAGTTTTCAATAAGCACTTCAACACGGTCTAGCAATTAATTAATTCATTAAACATCATGCGATTCCAAAGTGCGATACCACCACTTGCAGTTAATAAAGTTTCAAGCTGTTT